AGATTCCTTCATCCTGTTCCATCATTTCATCAATGTGACAAATCTTAAACCGTGCGGTGAATTTCTAGCAGTGAGAGTGTTCACTGCTCCTCGCTCACCTCATGCTGTGACATTTGCTCCAGGATAAACATTTAATCATGAATGCTAATTATACATTTAGTCCTTTTCTATAGTGGGCTAATGCCGTTAGAGCCTGTGTTGCCGTGCAAGGCTTATATAAGACTTTTACATTTTTGCGGTTCCAGATAGATTTGTATTTTGTTTTTTTTTTGGTCCAATGTGGCTCTTGGAGCAGTTTGGGTTGCCGACCCCTTTACTAAAATGTTTGATTTAATTTGCTGATATTTGACAAGTTGACTTTTCTTATAAATAACTTGACCAACAAACTGAATTTTCCGTGAATCAGAGATTTCCAGATCTGATATAAATACTGGAAATCAGTTCGATATCAACCTGCATCTAAAGTCTCCAATATAAGCTGGCTAATAGAAGCCTTCTATTTAACCAGTTTTTTCCCCCCCGCTATTAACCAAAATCCGTTGATCAAACCTTTTCTTACATCTCAAAAAACAAAGTAGGCGGATAGAGAATTAATATTCAGGCTATGGTATCCGTTTCATTATCTGAACATCGTTAGCAGGAATCCTCCTCCTGTGTTTGAGCTTCATGTTGCTTCTATGACATGATGTTCTGGTGAACGTCGCCGTGTTTGTTCCATATCATTCAGCTTTGACGGTTTTTATCAGTCGTCATCTTTAAACCGAACAAACTAACGTCTCCATGTTCTTGTTTTCAGCCGACTACGAGTCCATCTCTCTCCACGGAGACGCAGACTCCATCTCCTTCCCTCAGCTGTCTCACGGCAACAGCCAGTCTGACTTCGACAAGTCCTCCACCATCCCGAGGAACTCTGACCTCAGATACCAGTACAGGGAGTTTGCTCAGTCCAAGCGGCCCACGTCCACCGTCAGCCTGCTGGCCGAGGCCGAGCTGAGCAGCGGCTCCGGTCGGCAGCTCCCTTCCCACACGGCCACCATCAGACGCAAACCCTCATCCAAACCGACGTACCGCAGAGGCACCATCAGCGGAGGCATTCCCATCCCCATCAGCACCCCGCAGGTTCCCCTCAAAGCTGTCGCTGGAAACGGCGGCAGTGAAGAGAACGTTTTCAAGGTTCCTGCTCCTGGAGGAGTCGGAGGTTTGGGTCACAGCAAGCTCTGCACCTCCACACAGAGTCTGAGCTCCTTGTCTTCCTCCTCCTCCCCCTACTACCAGTTCATCCCAGGACAGATGCCCATCCCGGTGCCTGGCCCCACCGTCCCGTCTCTGCCACCAGAGGGCGGCAACGTCAAACAGCAGCAACAGAGACAGCACCTGCAGCAGCTGCAGCAACAGCAGCAAATCAACATGCAACTCAACCAGCAGCGAGGGCACCTGCAGCAACTGCCGCAGCAGTTTAATCAACCGCCCCAGCAGTTCCAGCAACCGCCGCAGCAGTTTAATCAACCGCCGCATCAGTTCCAGCAACCGCCGCAGCAGTACCAGCAACCACCGCCACAGTTCCAGCAACCTCCCCCGCAGTACCAGCAACCTCCGCAGCAGATCCAGCAACCGCCCCAGCAGTTCCCGCAACCGCCGCAGCAGTTCCAGCAACCGCCCCAGCAGTTCCAGCAACCGCCCCAGCAGT